TTGATTAATTATTCCAAATTTCTGTCTACATTTTTTAAAACTACACTAGTTTGTATTTTCAGTTGAGTAGGCTCTATAAGTATTTATTTTAAGAAGCATATTTCCATATTTTACTTTCACATATTTAAATGAGTAATTGTGACCCTAAACTTTAAAATATACATTCAGAAATTCCAAAATACGTATCTGTAATATCCACAAAAACTAAAGACTGCTAATTAAAAGTTACTAATTAACTAAACATTGTAAATGTTACTAGTCTAATTAGTTCTTTAATAACTGATTGAATGTTTACAAAAATATGCAGTTATAAACACTTTAAGGAATGTGCTCTTCTTCTTTTTGTATTTGTCAAGAATAATTTTGCCTGTCTCATTAAATAAATAATCAGTACCAGATTACGTTCCAGATATTATCTAATCAAAGTGTTAGTGAAAAACGCCATTACATTAATCTAAACTTGGTGTTTATAACTCAATGTACAGTAGCTCAAGTAGCCTGCCCTGCAGCTTTTCTCTTTTCTTCTCTGTGGCCCAAAGTGGGCGGTCCTTTGGAGAAGTCCCCGCCCCCAGCCGTGTTGATTGACACGCAACGGTGGCCCCGCCTTAAACTTTTTTTCCCTCCTTCGTTTTCCACTGAAGTGTGTGAATTTCATACCAAACCCATACTTCGCATTCCACCTTTACTGTCAAACCGGGAGAAATATTACTGAAAACAATAGAGCACCAAGATAAATATACCTTTAAAGAAATAAACCTCGTCTAGTTCTATCGGTAGAGGTGTTTCTCAATAAAGGTGAGTTTTAGATTCACTCGTTCCCTTTGTCTGGTCGCGTTTTTCATGCCGCTCTAGCGAAGTTTTCAGATCTTTGTCATATTTCGCATTTTTCCTCGGAACTCCCTGCGTTGGGTGGGATGAGGGACAGAATTCCGTGTGGATATGCTGGAATTGTGCGTGTGTGAGAGCGAGGGAGCCGATTTTAGTGCGACAGCCGGGAACTTTTTGCCTTTGAATTAGACTTTTAAGTTTGATACATTATTGCAACTAACGCTTCCATTGTTGCGCGTAGAAGTTGAGGCGAAAATGTCCTGCTCGTCTGCACAGGCTCTTATTGACTCTCATAGCATGATTTTGCAAAAGCGTGTGATTGAAAATAAAGAAAGAGATTTTGTTGTTCCAGAGAATTGCCTGAGAGAAGCGACAGAAGTGTTTGGAGAGATCGTTCACCCCTTTTTCTACGTTATCAGGTAAGGGTGACTATGTTTGTTTCACTTGACAGGCTCAAGACGTTTATCAAATGTAATATTTACTGATTTCTGTGGGGTTATTACAGTGACGTGAATTTAAGAGTATAGAAATGCATTAAAAGTTGTGTTTTCCACTTACAAAACTTCTTCAGTACGCGTGAAGGGAAAACAAATTACACTATTGGAAAAAGTACAGTGTTAAAAACATCATTTATTATAAAACTGCTTGATATGATAATTGATTTCTGTGGAAGCTTTTATATATTGTACCATCCAGACTGGTTTATCAAAACCGAATTCAGTATTTTTTATATTTTTGTATGGAATTTTATCTAAATGTCTTTATACTACTGATTATACTATAATTATTATTTTTGTGGCATTAAAACTATTTTGCCAATAAAAACGATCAGATTTCCAAACAGCTATCTTTCCTCAGATTGAGCATTTCCATATGAACCCTTCTATAATTTAAAGATAATTTCGACCCTTTTTGGTGTCCTATACTGTGGAGTATTTGTGACACTCAGTAATATCTAAACAACAAAAAAGCAGGTTACAGTTATGTGTAAAGTTGTTTCTCATCATCTGTGATCTTTATGGCCAGATTTGTTGAAGAACCAATCATTGCCTTTCAACAAGTTGTACAGCTTTAAATAGTTTCTGTAAATCTATGAAATTTAAAAAAAGTTTTTCTTTTCCAACATCATATACTTTGCAAGCGGATTAAATACACTGTCCTTGGGAGTCTTTAGACCCTCATGAATTTAATCATTTTTGAATGTGACACAAATTTGACTCGAGGATCACAGGAGGATGCAGTTTCTTAAGACAACAAGAGGGTTAATGAATCTTATCAAACATTTCCGTCTCATCTGTGTATTAATTTCAGTTTT